TTGAAACTCACCTTTCGTATACTCCTGTGAGTCAGTGCTCTCCCATTGCAAGTAAAATTCCAGGTGACATAACATGTCAACAGCTTGATACTAGTTTATAAATAAACAAATGTTCTTGCTATTATTGCAAATATTTGTGACACAACACACCAATTAAAATATTTTCGGGGACGTTGGGGCTTTCTTGATGTCATAAACATGTTGTTTGTCCTCAGTGTAAAACTTGTGCAAATCAGATTGGAGGCTTCAGTTTCTAACCTGCATCATAACCCTTTGAGAGCACTTAGGCACTTATGTCTATTGGTTTGGTATGATGATTTAGACTTTGATACAATGATAAAGACTGTTATTTTAACACCTGACAAAATTGCACTACTTATAAAAAGCCACACTTGTTAATATAACGATCACACTTCTCAACAACTAAGGTTTAAACGGTAAAATAGTACTAGCTAGGACTCAACCACTACAACTACTAACGCAAAATCTTCTGCTGGGTTCGGCTTGGCTGTTATTTGCAGATACCCCTCGTCTTCCTCCCCAAAGCACTAGTACACAACCTATCCATATGAGAAATCGCGATATATTTTTAGTACCTAGAAGGTTTTCATGCCGATGATCCGATAATCTGACGTTGCGGATGCATTATCACAACTGGTCGTCTGCTGTAGAAATGTTTGGGATGTGTTAAAAGATTTTGTTGATCGATTTTGATTGATTTTTCTCTCCGGAATACATTTTACGGACACATTTGTTTTCCCCTCGCATTTTCCTTGAATTTTCTTTTTCTATACGCTTGGAAGACAATAGTCTGAACTTAACATCGTACAGGCTCTCAATAAACTCGATAGCCAACTAAAAACAATAGTCAATTTATAATTATGTAAAATCGTTTAGTGCCTACAAATTTTGGGAAATGTGTGTATGCCAGGTAATATGTTGTTCTCTTTTAATGTTTCAACGTCTTGAGAGAAATGATGTGTAAATTTATATCTCTCATGTGATTTCATAGGTTATATGGCTCCAGCAAAAGTGGCAAGAGTTTAGCAACAAAGTTATCTTTGAAGGCCGTACCTTTTTTTTAATATGTTCCTGGAGCTGTGGTTTTCAAGTCATGGGCCCGTATTACAGCTTCACCAACAATTGTGAGTTAAAATTTGTTACAGCTTAGCTAAACTAAGTATTTGTGTCTTTCCTTTTTTACCTTTTGACTGTTTGTTTTTGTTTTGGAGTTATCTAGAGTAAAAAACTTCTAGAGTAAAATAATTGCCTGCCTTATTTCTTAAAATTTCTTAGAATATATTTAATAGTGGCATATATTATGCTGTCACCAACAAAAAAACAAGGAGCTTATAATAATAATAAACAAATAGCTTGTAACATAATAAAAAGTGTTACATCAATTAACAGCAGTTGGAATTTCTCTAAGTTTTCTTAACTCTCACTTTCTTCTGCCTCCAGGTCTGGTTCGTCCACAGAAGAATTTGAGGAGTCCTCATTGTTTGCTCGGAATCGATCAAGCTGTTCTTTTAGTCTGGATAGGCAGCGCTGTACTGGCCCTTTCCCTCGCAAGCTTCTAGGCAGCTTGGATCCAGATGGTGGATTTATGTCCAATATATTCCTGGAAAGGAAAGCAATGTTAGTAACAAATTCTTTAATCTAAAGAATCACATAAACAAGAAGGGGATGTCCAAGATAAATCAGTCATTACCTCTGGATAAAATCTAATGTGCTCGGGGCATCACTTGAGTATTGAATGTTTATTACAAAATAAAGTGCAAACATTGAAGTGATTGCACTGGAGAACCTGCGAACACACATTCTGGCCTTTCCGTCCAGACATATGAAGAACTTTTTAGCCCTGAAGGCAGTTTGACCTGCAACAGTTAAGATATTAGAACACACTTGTTTGAGATTTATATAGTATCTATTGGAAGAGTGGACATGATTTGAATATCTGAAGCATACTGGTGGGCCAGGAATATCTTGGACTTCCTCAATTTCATCCATATCTACAGATTCCTAAAATTTAAAAATAATATGCAATGTTTTGTTTAAATAATTAACAAGAAAGTAATGAAATAATCTAATTTGTTAAAAGAAAAAATCTTACCTCAATGACCCTTACTACACCCCTATCCTTCTCACCAAGAGCAAATGTCAGCATTTTAACTAAAGCTAACAGTGAAGCATCATGTTTGTTAGTTCCTCTTTTGATAGCCTGATCCATTGCTGCTTTTACTTTATGGTTTTCTTCCTTGTCTTGCTGTTTTCTTGTTGCTAGGAAATCTATGAGAGAGGAAAATTCATCGTCTGTGAGGAAGTCAGCAAATTTTTCAATCAGTGGCACACCAGTTAAAATCTTGATATGAAAATTTAAACCCCTTGTGGAAAATAGTAAGGGCCAGTCTTCAATAATGCCATCTGTTGTCTTTGCTGGTTCTGGGGGAGCTGGATCTTCATTTCTTTTTCTTTTCCTTGAGGTTTTCTTGTGAGCGTCAGACTGAGTATTTATATCTTTTCTTTGCATTGAATGGGTTGCCTCCAAAAGGGGTAGTGTTTCACCATCCCAGTTCCAACTTTTATGATCTGTGTTCTCAAATATGTCTAATAGTTTTTTCCTTTTTTCTTCCAGGCTCTCTTCTGTTTCTCCCTCTGGCAAGTTGGCAACTTGCCACTTCACACATCCATATGCTTCAGGTATTGCGGGAGCCTCAATTTCTTCTGTTGTTCTGGGAGTAGGATTACGATTCCTATTATCCAAGTGTGTCACTAGGGAAAAGCCCAATGTTTTGGTCTGAATTTTGTTATCTTTTCCCATGGTAGATTCTAATACAGAATATTTTTTTAACATGGCCTCTCCAACAACCTTCAAGAATTTTCTTCCGAAGTTTGGATAAGCGTATTTCAGATGTCTTATAGTCCTTTTTTTCAGCTCCCGCATCTGTTCTCCTGACAAGGGCTTGCCTTTATTCAACCTGTTCATGATGTCAGGGGGATAGATTGACCAGTCATGTGTGTACGGCCCTTGTGTAGAGGACTCGCCACCTCTGTTTTCTTTGTTTGAAACAGTGATTAACCGTGGTTAGAGTTCTATAAATTACAACTCTATTCTGAGAAAATATGACAAAAACTTTGAATATTAATTTAAAAAAGGTGATATTCTTACCTTCAAAAGATTTGGTAATATGTTCAATCAATTTTGATGCCTTACGATACTTGATGATAGGCTGAAGTTGCTCCGGTTTCACTCGAGCAACATCCTCAATATCCCTCATTTTTTCCACTCCCAGCTCCACAAACCTTTCTATGAGCTGCTCAATTATCTCATCTTCGATAGAGCCCAAGATTTCAACAATCCTGGTTCTAAGCTCTTTCTTGACATTCTCCAATTCACTCATTGCCGTTTTCTAAGTATTACTTCTTGTCAAATTGGCCCATACGACTGATGACTGCTCACCTGTCCGTTACGATTCGAAACTCAGCGGGAATGAGGGTG